TAGCCTAGTTATGATATTACACGTAATAAATCAGTTGGATAACAACAGTTAGGTAGTAAAATCCACTAGAAAGCTTTAAAATGGTAATATACCTGATAATATAAATCTCGTATTGAGGGTGTACTACTTCGTTCATTTCTAGATGAGGCCTGCAGTGTAAAACCTTAAATTCCAGGGACCTTTTGCAAATTAACAAAAACTTCTGAAATCATGAAATCTATTAAATTTATATTTTTATCAGTTTTTCAGTGAAACAAAATAACGTAACTAAGCCAACAGAAAAGTTTTTCTTATTACATTTGAATGCAATTTTGATCAAGTGGTACTAGAAAGTACAGGGTTAGGTTTTATTTTATAATTATTTAAATGTGGTACTGGAAAGAAACGTTTTGATCAAGTGGTACTGGTACTTTCAGGGTTAGTTTTTATTTTATAATTATTTAAATGTGGGACTGGAAAGAAACGTTTTGATCGAGTGGTACTGGTACTTTCAGGGTTAGTTACGAAGTTAATTAGCATTATACCTTGTTTGATACTACGCCAAATTTAAGAGTTACAGTACTTTTGACTAAGACAAACTTCAAAATAATTGTATGGAAAACCTGTTAACTAAATGTGCTTTGTTTTCATATCATCGGGTTTGTCTTTCTTTAATAAAGATTTCCACCCAATTAATCTGTTAAAAACAATAGGTATAACTATCAAATCTTAATCTTTTTAATTAAAGCTATAATACTTCTAACTATCAACAGATGGCGCCACAATCATCGAAAAACCTGTTAAACTATTCCGTTGGAAATGAGCTCAAAAAATCCAGATTTTTTTATATATCACGTTTTTATAGCCTATACTTATATTTTAATGTAGCAAAAGTTCTTTTATAATCTGTTATATTTCTGTACAAAATATAATTCATAAATAAATTTTAAACATCTGGATTTTTTATATCTATTACTTCAATGAAACTACAGTAAAAATAGGAATGCTTTTCTCCAGTGTTTATGATAACAAAATTTAGAATAAATCCAATAGAGATCAGCACAAACAACACTTCCAACGCCATCTAGCGAGCAATGATTGTAATACATGATAATATGCGAATAAATTTGGACAAATGATTTAAAAATACAGCTAGAAATGGTTTCTCTGAATTAAATCGGGCGAATATTATTTTTTTTTTTTGAAAAGTGGAGAGTGCTCGAGCAAATAATGGAAATGGTTTCCTTTAAGCCTAATCATGTAATTAGAGAATAAAATATACGATTGTCTAATTACTTACTTTATAAGTATAACATTTCGTGGCGTACAATATTGGTGCCAAATTTTAACAGGTTTCTAGCTGGAGACAACTTTCTGTAACACAAGAAGCATGTTAGAAGTGTTTTCTACAAACAAGTTTGTCACGCTCTGATCATACAGTATAATGCTTGCTTGTTGGATGACGTCATATTTTTAGGTGATGTTGGTTTATACCTTTGAAAAGTGAAAATAATACGCTAATCTGAGGTCTCACAAGTATGTACGTTTATCTGAGGACAAGAGTTTCAGTTTAGACTACAGTAGTGCAATATTTGTATTACGACGTAATATTTGAAACAACTAGTATTTACCCTTGAAGCTCCATTTATTTATTTTGTCGTTTTATAACATAGTACTTATATTAAACAACAGATGGCACCACTTGCCTGAGAGCGCATAAATATGGTATAAAAAGAGAGGTAAGAAATCATATTTAATAAGTATGATGTGAACTAAATAACTAAATCTAAAACTTATTATATGTAGACATTTAATAATTTTGTCCAGTGGATAACGTTAGGATCTTTGTCTAATATACATGGTGGGTTATATAGCTGGCACAGTTGGTATTATCTGGAAAGTTATTGTTTGTTTCAGAGTAAGACACAATTTTTGTCCTACCCTGTATAATTAGTTTTATATGCTCTATATTCTAGTTATTGTATTCACACAGAATATATTTCAAAACTCAGTCGTTAAATCCCTACTTTGTTTCAGAAAGCTAAGAAGAAGCAAATAGCCAAAAAAAGCATCTCTGATTTAGGAGTAGATATCACTCCAAGAGTCGAGGTATTAACGGTAGAAGATCCACCCGTCCGAGAAGCCGGAGCCAAAGTGGAGTCTGTGGAAGAACTGCTCACGAAACTTAAAGATTTAGGCCGAATTTAGTAAACGGTAAACTAACTTTGGGAACGTATTAGAAATTAAGACAAGTGTATTTTATAAACGTTTATATTTAAGCAAGATACAGTTGTTGTCATACCAATCCTCCAGTCTGATGAAACCTTCAAGACCGTAAAAGATTAGAAACTAGATGTTTCTCTTTTCGTGGATATCTTTCTTTCATTTAAAAAAAGGACTTGTCAGAATGTATCTTTTCAACAAAACCACAGTAATACTAAATGTATACTATTATTGTTACCGTGAATTTAGATTATCTGTAAACGAGTCATCCTTTTGAAACAAAAATTAATTTGAGCATTATTATTATAACTTCCATAAATCCCCGATTTGTTTGTGGTAATAGTGACCAGAATATTTATAAAAGTCTTATAAGGTGTGTTGTTATTCCTTAGGCAACCCCAAACATAGCTTGGCTGGCAAGTTTTTTTTTCTTGGTATTAAGCTGTACAAAGACTAAATCTGTGATCAACCTTGTGACGCTTAACAATAACACAGTACTTATAAAACAACTTACATGCATTTTTCTAAGAGTTACTTATTAGTTGTAAGTTAGTGACAGGGGCACTCTCACAAGTACCTGGTGTGCATTTAATTCCTTTTAATAAATGTACTGGGCATCACTTTGTTTTTCTATCAATCGTTGTCATGGTTTGTAGCCTGTACGGTCACCTAAGTACGTCCAGTTTTGGCCACTCATCTGCTGCCATCTTCTGTGAGATCCTGAGAAGAACTGTTTTCTCTGTTGGTAATAGACAGGATTCAATCCTGGGTCTTCATGATGAAAGTTGATTTGTTATCTATTTTATCTTCCACTTGAAGCTGTTAGGACTTTTATAACCAGTAGAAGGACTTGAAATATTTAATTTGTAAATGTAACAATAAATATTATACAATAATTTGTATTTATCATGTTAGAAAAACTTCGTTTGATAACCTTATGGCAACAATATAATAAAAATAAGAAACTGGTTTCATCAACGATTTCTTGTTATATTACACCAGTCGTTGATGATGAAATTTCTTGTTATATTACAGTTATATTACATTGTTGAAGATGAAACCAGGAAACTGGTTTCATCTTCAACAGTGTAATATAACAAGAAACTGGTTTCATCATCAACAATGTAATATAACAAGAAACTGGTTTCATCATCAAAAATGTAATATAACAAGAAACTGTTTTCATCATCAAAAATGTAATATAACAAGAAACTGTTTTCATCATCAATGATGTAATATAACA